CTGCAGTAGAGTTCACCGTATCAAGGAATGATCGGACCTCCGTGAGTCTCCTGGGCCATGGGCCTCATGCCGTCCGGCGTCTGCTTCTACGACGTGTCCTAGTATAACAACATCCCCTCCTTGTTAAACTCGCCTCGGGCTGGCGCTCGTCCTGTACGTCCCCTGCCTCAATCGCTTGAACGGACCCGAAATCCTCCGTGCGTTCCTGATAATATGTATTGAACGCGTGTACGTCATCGACGTAAACCACCAGGAACATGTTGACATAGTCCTGTAACAAGTGGCTCATGGCTCATCTTGGTCTGAGGGGCGATTACTTATAGCACTCACTCTTTCTTTTCTTTTCTTTTCTTCGAGCCTGAATCGGACTAAGATTGAGTCCTTTTAAATCTGTCAAAGGTTTAAAGACGTGAGCTGGGTTGTTTAGGCTCAAATAAAATTTCACTATATGCGGGAACGTGCTCTGGCCTTCGGCCCTTTGTTTTGTGTGTCAAATTCCATGGTCGCAAGTGCATTCATCAGCCCAAACAGCATCACCTTGGACTTGCACAGCCCGAATGCAGTCCTGAACACCCTTTTTTCTGTTAATCTAGTACTGGCCCCACCTCTATTTCTGTTGATGGCCACCCTTCAGATCAACCATGGTAAGCACTTGGCATGCCATCCACTGTGTCCAGCAAATCGTCAATCAGATGCGGCCCATTTGTACGTACGGTAGTTCCATACGTACGAACGGCCCCCAGGGAATCGTACAGGCTGTACGAATGGCCGAACGAGCCTTTTTCAGGGTCTGACGGGGCCCTCCTCTGGAAACTGATGGGGCGGGAGGTGCAGGGCGGAGGGGTGTTGAGAGATATCCCCCCAAGTTTTGGAGGGGGGATGGTGGAGAATCCTTGTTGGCGGGGCCGGGATAAGAAAAAAACGAAGAGAGATTGATCAATTTATGGATTGATTGGTTATTGATTTATCTGTTGATTGATTGATTGATTGATTGATTGATTGATTTTTTCAACGGATAAAATATTTGGAAAAAAAAACACAAAAAAAAAACGCACACAAAAAAAAAAAGATTGATTGACTGATGGCTGCAAGGGGGGTGGGTGACCCTCCCCCACCCAATCAGTCAATCAAACAATCAATACACGCATACATATATCAAAATTTAGAAAAACATGCTTGATTGATTGATTGATTGATTGGTCTGCAGGGTTCAATCGCGATGTGAGTAGGTCCTGTGCTGCTTTTCTCCGTGTTGGATGTGTGGACGGCCTCGTCTGCGCTCGGCCGCTGCCCTGCTGCCCGTCCCGCTTGCGTCGCATGTGGTTCTCTGCAAGTTGATGTGTTCGCTGTGCAGTGTGGCAGTGTTGTTGGTGTGCCTTGCTGCTCTTCTGCTGGCAGTGCTTTCCGTGTCCTTTGCTCGGGCACCTACTAGCGTGGTTGCCTTGTTGGTGTTGCCTTGTGCGACACCACATGGATGCTGGGAAGCTCGCTCACTCGCCTTGTCATCCCTTGCAGTGTGGTTGCCTTGGTGGTTTTGCCTTGTGCATCACTTCCAGGTTGTTGCGCTACATGTCCTGCGTGCCGTGTCGTTCCTTGCAGTCGTTTTTGGCGTTGAGCAGCCGGGTTACATCTACTGCATTGCCTGGTGCTCCGCAGGGTTGCTGCCCATTTCTATGTTCCACTTGGGGACAGTCTGCCTTCAACATAGGTCAAAAGGGTTCATGTGACCCACACCATCTAATACGGAGATTCCGCAGATTGTCGAGGGTTCACCCTCCTGATGAGTCGGTGCAACTCCGACGAAACAATCTATCATCAGCTTTTATTTTATTTTTTTCGGTTGCTGCTTTTGCCTTGTTGTTGTTTGACTTGCTATCGTCCCCTTGCTGCCTTATGCTGTTTGCCTGCCCTCCTGCCTACCCTATACCTTTCATCGGGTGTGCGTT